TTTTAACCGTTAAGTCAACCAAAATGAGATTAAATGGAGTATTCAAAATAAGTTACATCATAACAGCAAATTCTGATTTCAATTTGATCTCTAACTTTGCTCGGGTGGTGGTCCTCTGTGAAGATGTGTTCTGCAACCTCTGATTTGAAATCATATGTCAGGCCTTTTCCCTCTTGCTTTTTGACCTTATTAACCTCCGCTATATGTTCTTTAAATCTAGTTGCTAAAGTGGTTTGTCCTACGTATTATGAGATGGATAATAACTAGGTAGGTCATGACTTTTCATATACATTTCCTGACAGTTGGTGAAAGGTCATTTTGGATTCAAGCTACTGCACGGCGTAAGTTGAACATTGATTAGCTGCGTCGTGGGTGATTTGCCCATAAATGAATATCGGCGGATTTTCACATTTCTGGTGACCGTGACAGGAGACGAACCTGCAATCTTTGAGACCCCCGATAGGCAAATCACCCACTTGCAAGGAAAGTTTGAAATTTGTACGCGACCGGGACGACCGTTCTGAATGCGAGTGAGGACGGATTTGCAAAAATGTCTGCTCGCCGTGGCAAAGCCACAGGAGAAAACGTGACCGGGGCGGCCGTTCTGAGAAAACGAGTGAGGACGGATTTGCAATAAAAAATTCGCCTCCTCGTGGTGGCACGGCCACAGGATAAGAACGCGACCAGGACGGCCGTTCTGAATGCGAGTGAGGACGGATTTACAAAAATCGTCTCCTTGCCGTGGCAAAGCCACAGGAGAGAACGCAACCGGGACGGCCGTTCTGAGAAAACAAGTGAAGACGGAATCACAATAAAAAGATCGTCTCCTCGTGGACGGACCCCCAAAAACACGTTTTTCACCAAAAACATATTTTCTTTAATTTTAGGTCTTAACTATGTTCAACAAAGTTTATTTGTATACTAAAATACACATCTTTCTCGAACATACTATACCTGCATCATTTTAATAGGATGAGTTATTGATACATTTTCTTCTATTTTCCTCATATTTTGAACTTGCGTATCTTTCTTAGGTGCAAGAAGGTGCAGATGAAGTCAAATGCATAGAAGTCATGTAAACAACAAGGGGATACTGTGTTTTATACCGCGTAATAAATTCGTTTCCATAGTAACCGACTCCATAAACACTTCTCAGAGCTTATAAAATTCAAAAACTGCACATTTTCTTTTCAAACGGTTCCCAGATGGCAAAACTGAAGCATCAAGAATGAAAAAATCTGTCAAATTCAGTTAAACTTGTGAGTCGATAAGTGTTTTTCCATAGTGCTCATCACTGTTTTTCATCAAGCGTGAAGCAATTTCGAAAGTATAAGAAAGAATGTAAGATAGAAGAACTGCGGAAGCCAAGCGAAGGATAGATAGAGACTTATTCTGCCAAAGAAACCGGACAGCAGAGGAAGCTACGAGAGCAGGACTTTGAAGTAAAATTGCATTATCTGGTAGGGCTTAATTTATTTTAAATTTTTCAATTCATCGTTTGATCACAACAAGTGCTTATGATTTGTTTTTTCCTGAAAATATTTTCATTTCACTTTTAGGGGGATAAAGCATGTCATGCTCCAACTTTACTGAAGACGTCATTACTCTAAATCCACTCTCCATTGTGCTATTAGTTAAAAGCGTCAAAATGGACTTTTCAACCGGTGTGGAGTGTAGCAAAGCCAGTCCCCGGCATTATCTGCACATTGTGCACAATCATGGCATCCACCACGTGCAGTTCATGGACAAGATGTCGACCTCGGAGATGCAGAGCTCGTTTGCCGATTCGGGACATTTCGAGGACATTACGACCAAGTCGATCCATTCCAAGGATTCGTATATACACACGCAGGATCGTGCTTGCGGAAGTGACGATGACATTGATGCCGAGAAGCAGTGGCTTGTCGAGATGTACGAAGCTTGCATTGAGGAGCTAGTTAAACAGCAACAGGCAGACGAACAGCAGAATCGCATGTCCAACAATGATCGCGTTTGCTGCAGAAATTGACGCAACCGATGTCGCTAGAAAAAGATACGGCGATTTGTTTTTGGTTATATGAAAAAAATAAATGGGAAATACTGGTTTTTATGTAAAAATTGACACTTGTGGTTTAGCAAATTTTTGGGGGCGCGCAACTACAAAATATTGTTTTCCCTTATTAAGCAAAAAAAAAAATATACATATATATGGAAATCAAATCAACTCTCCATACATTTTTTGATTCGATGCATCTCTGGTATCGACTAAAAATCTCTTTAATAAAGTAAGAAGTGCAAGGAGATGTCAGTTTATATTTCAACACTTAGGGAAGAGCGCTACTTCGACGTAATCGTCTATTTCCATTCTATCGAGCAGAAATCATCAATAATATCAATCATTTCACCATGCACAAAACATTAATACGTTTGATCCGATCCGTTAGTTCATAAGCCACAACATGAAGCCTATTTGGGCGCATTGTATGAATATTTACACTCATTGTTCTCAAAACAAAAGAATTACTCCTAACGAATCCACTTTTTCTCGAGGGGGACGACTCTATCTACGATGCAGGAAAGATTATATTTTGCTGTGGCTAGCTGTGTGCACGCTAATAGAAATAGTAGATAGAAAGAAGATTGACGACGATTCTGAAGATTTCCTGCAAAAAGATGATGCGCGATGCAAGTAGATGCGAGAAATGAAAAAAGATTTGTCGAAGATTGATTCGCTAGGGGGAGATTTGTTGAGCATCTAGACTTGAGATTTAGATGTGTCGCCCCCCTCGCTTTTTCTACCATCATCCGTAGGACGAAGAAAATCTAATGGCATTTCAATGCGTTAGGACGGAATTGAAACTCGTAGGACGAATTTAGAATGAAGAAGCAGTGTTAGATTTTTAATAATATCTCAACATTGATATTATTAAAATTTATTCACTTTTCCAAAGGTACGTATGGAAAGGTGAATAAATTTAGAAGTTATCTTTGATGAAAATATTTCATGTTCAAAAAAGAGAGGTAAAGTGCAGGATGTGCTTAGTAGGACGGAAATTAGATCAAAAACCCTACTTTCGTGTTTGTTGAGATTTTTTTAGATTTACCGAGAAACCGAAAAAGAACCAGGTCAAAATGAAAATTCACTGGTCACCCTGAAAGTGGCACCGAAATTCCTGTAGAATTATGAATGAATCAGTTAAAATATTTCACTAAGTTTGATTCCGATAAGAAGTTTAAATTAGTAAATGAAAATTCAACTAGAATATATGGTCAAGTTGCCTCAATTTCAGCAACCAATATGAGGACAACGACCCACAGATTGCGAAACGTACTGAGCTCTGGACTAATATTAATATTTCCCCCTTTTTGATTTTGAAATTAATTTGTTAATTATTTTCCCACGTGAGTAAACACAATTAATTGATGTGATGTAAAGCCGGGTAAAACCAACAAGGTAATTTTATTTCACATTTCTCAAAAGATGAGCTCATTCCTGCAGCAGCAACACTTCATTTTCCTCATTTCTTTGAACCCTGTCGTCGAAGAACAACACAGCAGAGCGGAAAAATTTGCATTTCTGTGTCTAATGTTTCCTTCGGCTTGCAACTACGTTGAGGCTGTTGTTGCAATTTTCTTACACACTCACACGCACACACGGTGGTTGCTGGTTGGTTGATGCACCAGCCGGATTTCTAATCCATTGCACGCTCCTTACCACCCCTCCCTCCGCATCACCTGCTACGTGTGTTGCATTTTTTCGGGTAATTTTTTCTTCTTGAAGTGGTTGGCATTGCTATTCATAACACTTGCGTATGGGAGGGATTTGCAGGCATGCTTCATCAAGAAGGCAGTTGTGGGAAGTTGTGAGGCACTAACGCAATATGTTTACAGCTTAAAACTACGATGATGATGACGATGATTATGGCGCCGCAGACGTGTGCATCGGAACATTGTAGGAGATAATTTGATCGAACATTACAAGCTGGGTGTGTTGTGTAGCACAAAGATGGTTTGCAAAACTATACGTAACATTGCATTGCTTCAGAGGGAGAAACTGAGCGCGTAGGTTCTAGCAAAAAGCATATGATGATTATGCCTTTGGATGTACCTCCTTACATGGTAAAAAAGGTATTGTTTCGAGCGATCCACATTGTCTATAAATTGTAATCGTACGCCCTGAGGAATAGGAAGTTGCAAATTACCCGGGTAAAGAGTGAGTTACATACTCTGGGAGAAAGCCATGGGTACAGTTGTTGCGGTTTTCCACGGTAGATTTGTGCTAATCATGGTCTTTATTATGAAACTCACTTGGAAAATTGATTATTTTTACATCATTGTTATCGGCGATAATTCACTTAAGGAAGAACTTAATGAGCGTGGTTTCTTTCCTCAATGCGAGGTACATTTTCCAGGAAATTGAAAGACGCTACCATTGTTGATGTGCACCATTTAGTTTTACGATTTTTTCTCCTTTCACGTTTCCATCATTACCAAACTATCAGGGATCTAATTGGGGTGGGCTCTGTAACCTAGTGTCAATTAGTGAAATTAACGATTCAAACAAAGCTACCTCCTAATTACGCAACCCAGCGATTAAAAACAGTGCTCTGACTTTCAATTTCTTACAGACGAATCTACCTCCGGTGGGTAATTCATGCGAATTAATCATCACCATCGTGCCATTTCACTATCGTCCAAAAGCGAGTATGGATTCAAACAAAATCAGCAAAAACAACCGGCCGAGCATGCTAAACTTTGATACCCGTTACCGGTTCGCTAATTCAAAAGATCGAATACGCCACCGTCGTCGGCCGGTCCATCGAAAACAAGTTTTCCCCCAACAGCGACTCTGGTCAACAGTCTGTCCACTCGCCCTGCCAGCCGTCTTTCGGTTTCAGAAATTCCTCATCAAATTTAATTCATTTTTTTTCTCCACCCATAGTCCGATAGGTTCCCTCCTTCCTCCACTCGAAACTAGCTGCAAATTTTTGATTTTGGATTATTTCTGCTTTTTCTTTCAGACCTGAACTGGGAACGGTACCGAACTGATCGACCGGCAACCGCTCGGACGGGTTCCGAAAACTAGTCAACAATTGAAACAATCAACCGAAAAACGAAACGATCGAAATTCAATTAATACGAGCGCGCACAAATTGGAAGTTTCATTTTTTTAACGAGTCAGGTGTGAAGAGGCATGAGTTGATCTCGTCAAGTGAAGAGTGGCGTTTTTGTTTTCCGTGTCCTATCATTTGAATAATGAGATAATCGTCGTTGAACCGTGTCCGGATTTGTAGTGCGGAGGAATGTGATATTTACTCGAAAAAAACCTAACGTGAATAAGAAGAGGTGGAGAAGACAACGGGGAAATATTAGGGGAAACAGCGGTGTTACATCGAGATCGGATAGTGATTTGAACGACCAACTAGACGGGGAACTCCTCATCCGATGAACGAAACCGAGGAAAAGTCACTGAACGATGGGATATTTCTCGAAGCGGAACATTTTCATTTACTGCTGCATTTCGGCATGTCTGTCGTTGGTAAGTTGGAGATTTTGGTTATGTACTGCAAAGTGATTTCTGAGTGCTTTTTTTAAGAGAAATTTGGATGTATCTTGATGTAGAAATCGTTGCCCTTTTCACAGAAACAAATATGGATTTAATCGTCGCGTTAAATTTTCCTCGTGTTGTTTTGATGGGCTAAACAATGAAATTGTTAACGAGCAAGTTGAATGCAAGAATGTCCATTTGTGCATCATTTTCCGTTAATTTATATGTTTTTCGAAACAAAATTTCGCCACACATTGTCTTTATAAGCGCTGTAAATTGCAGAAATTTGCAAACTGTTGAAGGGTAGTTAACCTAATTTATGGAATAACAGTGCGGTTTCGATTTTATCACGGTATGAAATTTTATTTTTTTTTTTTTTTATTTACAGGGTGATTCGGAATAACTGTCCCTTTTAAAAATGGTCATAACGATTGAACGCTTGCGTGAATTTTTGATATCATTATATTCTAGATATTCTACATATATAACCTTCAACTAAGCATAGTTTATTTCAAATCTCTCTCCCTTTACCTTAATTATCAGCTACATTTGTCATGAAAATTAACCACAGCTGGCACGCACGCTTTAGTTCCAGCACTTTTTGAGTCCTGGTGATGCGTTTAAGCTCTGATATTGAACGGATTTTCCAGGCATGGTTCCTTTGTACCTCTATAATGATGCAAAAATAAATGTTACATTCTTTGGAAAAGATTTCAGTTTCTAAAAGATAACACACGATTTTTTTTACAGATTTATGCCATGCTCCATTTCGGTTCATATCTATCTCAAAATTCACCAGTTCACTCTACTTTAAAAAAGGGTAGCTGAGCTTGTTGAAAAATTTTTCAGCTACAACTTTGTTCAAGACCACTTTTCGATCAAATGTAAGAAACAAAAATTATTAGTGATTCAAGTCACTGATGTCTTATGATTATGCTCCATCAACTGTTCAGCAGGCAACATTGGTGTTCATGGCACGTAGAATAGAGAACAAAAATCATGGCTACTATGTCACACTGCAGAATACAGTGTTGCCTACAATACAGTTGCTTAATCTTGCCATAAGATTATCAATCTCTTAATCAATTAATTACTATTAAATTTGACGTTTGGCTGAAATATGATTGTTCCGTGAAAACGCATCGGCTCACCCCTCACCAAGAACATCGCATGAGTCTAAGTGCACTATAGTCTATAGTGAGTGCTTTTTGTTTATAGGTAAGGAGATACCGTGCTTTCGCTATGATGACAACCTAAATAGAAGTGATATGGTAATTAGAAGCGAAAGCACGGGCGTAGTAAATAAGTAACTAATTGCGTTACTTATTCACTATGAATAATCACTGAAGATGTGAGTTCTTTAAATTATAATTATCTAACCTATTATTTATAAGATCTTAATAAATTTTACAGCTTTACAGCGTTGGGCAACAGTAGGAAACTATGCGTTTTATTGTTTGTCCCGCTAGAAGAATCGGTGCCCGTATCTTCGAAGCTTCTATTTTTAATAATGATTTTGTGCAAAGTTGTAGCTGATAAAAATTCCCATAAGAATAGCAATGGAATTTGTTAACAATACAATATGTAAAAAGAGTAGAAGACAACGAATAAAAAAATTCGTTTTCCCATTGTAATTTCCATATAAACTTCAAATGGTTTGTGCCAAGTCAATTTCTTATCAAATGAGTTTAAACTTTTGGAGGCTAATTAGGACCCGATTTGAAACCGTTTGAACACTGTGGAGCGAACATTTCAAATTTTGCATCAGTCTAATGATTACACAATTGGTCAAAAAGATGCGCCCCATACAGGATGATGCCCCAATGAGAGGGGAGATGAGCCCGCCTTTTATCCATTATATGGCATTACCTCTCTCCCCGTTCAAATCGCTTCAATCGGGTGCGCTGATGGTCCCTCCCAATCCCAGCATTGTTGTGTAAAACGCTAAAAATATGTCAATTTTGTCTCGACCCCTTCCGATTTGAATGAAACATTGCTCACATGTTCGCTGCTATCAATGGTTGCATTTTCATTTGAATATGATTTTTTTCTATTCAGTAACTTTTAAAAAGGGCGTATTAAAAAAAAAAAATTAAATCATAACATGAAAACTATTGATCTGATCAAAATGACATCTGAAAACAATTTGTAGGTAGTTAAAGTATCTTTAAGGAAAATACACTTATATAAAAAAGTTAGTAAACTAAGTCAGACCAAAAATCCTTTTTTAACTATGTTAAAGAAAGGCAAAATTCTAAGAGCTTTCCATCAAAAATGCAATTAAACAGTAGGTTGGGCAATACTCCTATTCAGATTAGTAACTTATTTGCTGACTTCTTTCAGGACGTTCATACAATTCACGATGAGAATGAACGAGACTATCAATATTTTTCGTACCTCCCCAAGCCAATGAAGAACATCGCAGTTGATAATTTAACTCTCAAGGAAATTATACGTGGTCAAGGTTTCAACTTGGATGCTCCAAAAGGTGCTGGACTGGATGGTTTACCACCTCTTTTTTAAAATCACTTGCCAAGGAGCTAGCAAAACCTTTATTCTGGCTTTTTAATTTATCCTTGGAGTTGAGTGTGCTTTTCAATTCCAATTTTTAAATTAAAAGTCTGATATAAAAAATTACCGTGGAGTTGCTATATTATCAAGCATTCGTAAATTATTCGAATGACAATATTCTTACAGATTAGGACGGTAATTACTAGCAAACAGCACGGATTTGTTAAAGGACGGTCTACAGCTACTAACTTGATACATTTTGTGTCATATTGTTTAAACTCAATGGATAAAGGAAATTATGTAGAAACGCTATATACTGATTTTAGTAAAGCATTTGACAGAGTTGATATACCACTCTTGCTTTTTAAGCTATCCAAATTAGGCTTCAATCCTAGGCTACTGCATTGGATCGAGTTGTACTTATCACGGCGGACGCAAAAGGGATTTGAAAGATATCTGACCTCCATAGTTGTGTAACATCTGGTGTGCCACAAGGTTCACAACTTGGTCCATTACTGTTTATTTTATTTGTCAACGATATAGAACATATTTTGAAACTTCTTCATGTTTCTATATATGCTGATGACATGAAACTTTTAATGGAGATATCTAAAGCACCTGATCTTCAAATATTTCAACATGAAATTGACGTTTTTTTACACATGGTGTAAGAAAAATTTGTTAGAACTAAATTTTAATAAATGCAATTTTATATCGTTCACAAGAAATCACGCTGTAATGCATGACACAATTGCTCTTGGCCAGAAAACAATCTGAAAATCCTAACAAGTCAGAGACTTAGGTGTTATCCTCGACTTCAAGTTAACCTTTGCTGATCACTACTAATATTATCTACACATCAAGCAACATGCTCGGGTTCATTAAACGATTTAGTTTGCACTTCAATGATCCACACAATCAAGACACTTTACGTAGCATGTGAGGCCTCTTCTCGAATATTGTAGCATAGTTTGGGCACATGTAAACCGCATTGAATCAGTTCAAAAGCAGTTCTTGTTGTTTGCTCTAAGAAAGTTGGGTTGGACGAGTTTTTTACTTCTATCTTATGAATCGTGTTGTATGCCCATTAATTTAAATGAGCTCAATGATTGCTTTTATAAACGATGTGATTTCGCAAAGAGTTAACAGCCCAGAGATTTTGGAAAATATTAATTTTTATGCTCCCTCTCGCTCACTGCGGAATAGAAATTTGTGTATCAACAATCAAATTATTAAACTTGGTGAAGAGTTTAGGCTGGTAACTTGTTTAATAAAAATCTATATTTGTTTTAATTTTTTGTTAATTTTCAATGTTTATAAAATTGCATAACTTTTTTCCTAAGTCCAGTCGTTCTCAAGTTAATGCGAATTAATAATAATAGTAATAATAATTTTCAATATTTTATACCATTTTCAAATGTTAGTTGTAATATCAAGCAACAAGATGCTTTTTACGTGATTTTAAATTAAGAAAAAAAAACTAATAATTCATTCTCGGATATGGTAATTGTCATACTTATCCGTTTCTATTAAGATGCAGCGAAAAAGAAACACGTTGATGTTGTCAAATTCAAGATTTGTATTGGTGAGATAAGAAACACTATTTATTTATTTTTTACAACTCATAGTATTTGAAATCATTGAATATTTTGGGTGTATCGTTAGAACTAGAGAATATGTTTACTGCAATTTGGTTGTTTGAAAAGTTTCTGTATCTACTAACTCTGCTCTCAGTCCATGTCCTGCTTTGGGACGAGGGGAACATAATAATCAATCTTCGGAGACCAAATCTTTCACCTGGCAAGAAGGAAAATGAGAATTGCTTTTAATTTTGGGTAATACGGATAATACTTGTATCCTTTCTTCTCGAGTGCATTCCAGATCCGCGTATTTTTCCTAAAGTTGGCTCATCACTTCATCGTTATCCTTACCCGCATAAATGCGAACCATTACTTGACCTTACCAGAAATTGTTTAAAATTGTTTATAATCCCTGCTAAACTTTAACTAAAATGGTTATGGAACTTTACATGAACGTTCGTGTGATAAAGTTTTAACCTTATGTATTATGCTTTTTTGAAAGTGAACCTTACAAATAATGGGTTGTTAAGAACCATTACCATTCCAAATTCTTGTTTTCTCCATACATTTTTTGCAAAGAAATTATATTGGAACCATTTTATTTATGATTTGAGAGCTTTAATGGTAATGGTTATGGTAGTCAGTAAGGTTCAAAGATGGTTTTGTAACATCGATCAACTTTGTCTGTCAACTTTGTTTGTAAAAACAATGGTGCATTCTGTTCACTTTGGTTCATCATGCACAAGAGATACAGATTTGAATTATTTACAAAAATTGTAGCAAATTAGAAAACCTACAGAAGCTTCATACATCATTTTACAGAACTCTGTCGATGGAAAAAGTTAAAGGCAAATGAATTTAAATGAATGCACGAAATGAATGTAAATGATTTTCCATGCC